AGCAATTTTGAAAATTTGATGAAAACTACAGGCATTTTACCTAGCAAGATATCTGTGTACATATTCACATATCTTTGTATACTATTTCAAGATGGGTATATGTTTATTAACCTCTTGGAGGCTGTGCTTCCAGGGCATAATAGGTGCCAAGTTAAATATCTGTGTGCTAAGGTAAACCTCAGCCCTGGGAAAGTAACTTAATTGGTACCTGTGGGGTATCTGTAGCTACTTGGAATGTTAACACTATGACTGTGTAACAATTTGGACATATAACATTTCTAACTTCTTACTTTTCTAGTGTATTTCTTTAGCTAATATTATTTTAACCTGTTTTTTCTTGATCCTGTTTATTCTTATGTTTTTGAGGTCTTCTTGTTCTGCTCTATCACATTCTTTTAAAAAAGCTTTTTATTGTAAAATTTAACAAACATACTGAAAAGTTAATAAACACAAATGCACGCTTTAGTGAATAATTTTAAATGTAACCATCAACTTTTTCAAGAAATAAAATATTGCTAGCCCTCTAGCAAGCTACCTAGCCTCCCAATCTAAACCCCCTCCATTTTGGTAGAAGTAGCCACTAATCTGACTTTTAAGGTTATTTCCTTGTTGTTCTTTATAATTTTATCGTCTATATATACCTGTCAAATGTCTTACTCTTTTAGAAAGTCTTACATATGGATATTTATTGTATATTCATTTTTGTTTGTTTTGCTTCTGTCTCTCAACATTATGCTGTGCGTGTCTTATGTTGCTGTAGATACCTGTAGTTCATTTATTTCCATTGTTGTATTTTCCATTGTATGACTATACCACAGTTGGTTTATTTGCTATATCCGATCAAGGTTACCATGATATTTGCCTAAGAGAACTTTGATTTTCTTATCTTTTATCTGCCTTTGGATGAATTCTCTCTTCATTTACAGTGAAGTAAAATCTTAACTAGTAAATATGTTACATGTAAATAATTTGAAAATTTAATAAGAGACCGAAACCAATATCAGGTTTTCTTATTATCTGTTATTTTACTTTCAAGAACTCTAGTCTGTAATATACTTTTCTTTTAAATATTTCTTATATATTATATTCCTGGCTATCAGAAAAGTTGATTAAACAAATTCAGCAAGTATTTGAGATCTACTATGTGCCAGGCATTGTTGTAGATCCTAGGGCTTTAGCATGTTAAAACAGATATGTGCTTTTGTTTAAAAAAAGATCATGATACAAAAAGGTATAAAATGAATAGTTTGGCTTTCTGTTTCTTCAGTTCTATACCCAATGTTAAATTTTTTACTATCTTTTCTAGAAAAAAGAATAATCTTATATATATACATCCTTTAAAAAAATTACATGGTGGATTTGCACTTTTTTTTTAACTTAATGATATATCTTGAAAATTTCAGTAAGCATTTTTAATTAGGAAACTGCCAGAAACTTAAACTAGTAGAACTAAAAATAGAAATAGTGCTTCATATTCTCATTATTCTAGATTATCTTTTTTTCCTCATTTATTATAGAAGCAAGATTCATGGGAAACACTATACTTTTATATATTTGAAATTCTAAGATTTATTTATAGGACATGATAAAATTTACTTATGGGAAATCATAAAGTTAAATTGTTATGTATCTGTATTCTTTTTCCTTAGGCATTGTTGGAGACCATGTTTGGTGTAAAAGTGATTATAACTGGTGATGCATTTGTTCCTGGAGAGAGAAGTGTCATTATCATGAACCATCGGACAAGAGTGGACTGGATGTTCCTGTGGAATTGTCTGATGAGATATAGCTACCTCAGATTGGAGAAAATTTGCCTCAAAGCCAGTCTCAAAAGCGTTCCTGGATTTGGTAGGTTACACATTATTTTAAGTGGTTTATTAATTTTATATGTAATATACCCACCCTGAAACTATAGCATGACTTGGTAAACTCTACTTAAGTATTAAATACACTCCAATTTTTTTCTCACTAGGCTAAAAACAATCTCAGTTTCATTTTTCTTAGTGGATCTGTTGTGACAGATGAATTTATTTTGATCTCTTTTTTGAAAGCTCCTACTCTAAAAGAGAAAATAAACTATCCTCAAGGAAGTAGATCTAGTGCCTGAGGACCACACTTTGAAGGATATGAATTAATAGTTCAGTAACTTTTAATTGTCATGCTTGTGAGTTAGGCCCAAAACTGGTCTGTGCAGATAAGGTATTTGAAATCGACTGATTCATTTATATTCATCTAATAAATATTAATTGAACACCTATTGGTTCTAAGCATTATACTAGGTGCTGGTATTTTCTGAACTTCTCTAATCCATCCCCCCCACCCCCCACTCCTTTTTAAAAGTCTTTTTGTTGTGCTCATATACTATAATAACGTTTCTAGAAATGTTTCGTTTAAATGGTTAGGAATGCAACATATTCATTGCGTGTTGGGGAAATAGGGTATTTAGCATTGCATGTTAAAGCTAAATTGCCCCCTTTATCAGCTTACAAGTTAATTTGAAGTAGGGGTGGGAAACAGACTATAAATATATTCAAACCAGTTATTTATATATGGGTATATGAAGTACCCACTATACTCCCTAACAGTCTCATTCATTGTATCTATATTTCCATGGTTTCCCTATGTAACATTTCTTATTTGAAATCCTTGCCCTCTAAACCATGCCTCTATCAGTGTACTGAAATGATCTGTGACTTGTGAGGGCAAAGGGTAGGCATTGTCCTCAGAGTAGACCAGTCAGGGGGTTTGTGGTTGATTTACTAAGTGTGTTTGTGTTTTAGTTGCTTTTGGCTTATGGTTTTGTCTTTTCTCTTTGCCACTTTTCCAATATAGTGGTCTCATGATAGTCATATTTCTTACATGGCAACTGGCTTCCCCTAGAGCAAATATCCCCAAAGCACCAGCAAGAAGCTGCAAGGCATTTATGACCTAGCCTCAGAATTCATATAGCATCATATCCACTGTATATTGTTGGTGGAAGTAGTCACCGCCCTCAAAGATTCTAGGGGAGGGAGCATAGACCTCACTCTTTGATGGGAAATGTATTGAAGATCTCAGTGTTTTAAAAACTGTCACCTCCCTAAAAGGACTGAACAAGAAAGAAAAAAGAAGGCACATATTATCAGTAGCAAGAATGATAATGTCTTACTTATCATTCCTGATCCTACATGAAATATAGTAACAGGACATTAAAAATAACATTATGCCAATGAGTTTGCAAGTGTATATGAAATTAAATTATACAGAAAAATACAACTGACAAAATCTGGCAACACTGACAAAGAAAACGAAAAAGTCACAGTTGTGTGTCTAATAAAGAGGTTAAATCAATAATTAAAAGCCTTCTTGCAAAGGTTTTTGGAGGACAGTGGCAGCTGCCTGATTTTCTAAACTCTTTCAAAAAAAAAAAATCATCAAATCAACAAGCAAAGGAAATAAAGCCGTATATCATCCAACTCTTCAGCATAACTAGGAGACAGAGAATACCATAACTTTCTAATTGCCTTAAGGAGAGAAATAAATTCAAAAAGATTTCCTTCTGCCCTCCTTTCTTTGCACACCTGTGGATACTAAGAATGAGGGGAAAAGGCTTAAGAGTAGAGGGTCATGAACAGCTTAGAAAAAGCACAATCATCCCCAGAAAGAGAAAGTCTAATACTGAATGCCAAAATACTGAACAACAGGTCAGACTTGGTAGTTCACAGCACAAGATATAGGGAAATGATTTGAAAAACAGTGGGACCAAAAGGGATAGCCTCAGAGAAGCATTGCTTCTGAGGGAGAATCAGATATGTTAGGGAAGGCGTGACTTCCCTTAGAAGAGTGACAGTGAAGGAAAACAGGAAATTAAAAAAGGATCCTGCAGGAACAAAAAGAACTAGGAAACCACTTCCCTTCATTCTCCTCCTTCCCCCCAAAAAGTAAATCCACAAAACAAAACAAAAAACCCTCAAAAAACCCATAACAGAATTTTATACACATAAAGGAAACTTGTGAGCAGAGGCAGAACTGAGGGAGAAAAAAAAACAAAAAAACAACACTGTAACACAACACTTCAAACTGATTTAAATATCATCAAGCAAGCATCTGGGAAAAAGCACTTTGAGAAATTTAGCTGACTAGGAACCTTAATTCCCTTTGTCCATGTAACTTAACATATTCACAGTTCCAGGAATTAGGATATGGACAACTTGTGGGTGGGGAGCAATGTAATTATTCTTTCTACCCCTTGTTAGTCGCTAGTAGAATGTCTCTGACTGTAGATCTTCTCAGTGTACAGAGCTAATAATGTACTTAGTTTAAGAATCAGTTTTGCAACAGGAGTAGCTATCTCCGATGGTAGCTTATCTAGAAAATTGACGAAATGGCAAATCTCATATAGTATGAAAGATAAGTTTTGGTCATATGTTAGTGTGAAACCCCAAATTGTAATCAGCTAAGAAGCCTCATCTTTCCAACCAAAGTCATCAATAAACACGAATGTCCTCAGTGTCAAGCAAGAATTTCTACTCTCTGCAGGTAGATATGATAATCTCCATCTTTCTGAAGTCTAGTGAAATTTGCCTTAAGGGTGGTTTTATCCATTTTTTTTCCATTTTGTGGTTTCTCAAGTTTTAAATTATATTTAGAATTGTTTGCTTTAAAATATTATTTGATTGCTTACTCATATTTTATACTTTGATTTCTATCTTGTATTTTCAGCACAAGCACATTTGAAGTCTAATGATACTACAACAGACTATTGCAGGAAAAAGGTCATAAAATTGTCTGCTTCTACTCAACATTTTCTTTTTTTTTTTCCTTTTTGTCTTTTTACATGTCCGGCAACGGATTGCAACCCTCAGTGTCGCGCCCGTACCGGACCGGGACCGGCAACAGGATCGCAACCCTCGGTGCTGCGCCCGCATCTCGCTCAGCTAGTGAGCGGGAACCGGTCTGTATGTGGGATCCGAACCCTCGGCGGGAGCACCGCCGCGCTCCCAAGCAGCGCACTGTAGCAGTGCGCCGCACTGTAGCAGTGCACCACCGCGCCGGCCCTACTCAACATTTTCAAAGGCCAGACCTTTGTGGAAATTAGTCATCTTAGAAGAGAAATGTAGAGAGCATTGCCTAATTTATAGAAGCCTATAGGTTACATCCTTATCCTCTTTTAAGACTGAAAATAGGGCCGGCCTGGTGGCGCACTGCTACAGTGCGTTGCTTGGGAGTGTGGCGGTGCTCCCGCCGAGGGTTCGGATCCCACATACAGACCGGCCACTCACTGGCTGAGCGAGGTGCGGGTGCAACACCGAGGGTTGCAATCCCGTTGCCGGTCCCGGTCCGGTACGGGCGCGACACTGAGGGTTGCGATCCGTTGCCGGTCACAAAAAAAGACAAAAAGGAAAAAAAAAAAGACTGAAAATAATGTTGAAAGGAACAGTTGTCTGTCTCTTCCACAGTGCTTTTGCAGTATGTCACATTCATAGTGCCATGGAAGATACCATATTGAACTACTGAATACACAGACAGCAGTGACAAATTTAACCCATCTTTGAGTTTCGGTTTTGAGAGCACTAGGTGAGTTAGTGCAGATGTTTTTATGATTCCCTTAACTATGTCCATCTACAGTAAAATGAAAAGAAAAAAATGGTGAAAAGACTTACTTTTTATTGAGAAAGAGTGCATAATATTAAAAACACATTCAAGTGAATAGTTTTTTTTTTTTCCTAGCCAACCCAAAACTTGATAAAAGGGAATGTAAGTCAAAGAAAACGAGGTTCTAAAATTATGGACTAAGTTTGGACAATAGAATATGCTCAGGGATTTTCCTAGCCAACCCAAAACTTGATAAAAGGGAATGTAAGTTAAAGAAAACGAGGTTCTAAAATTATGGACTAAGTTTGGACAATAGAATATGCTCAGGGATTTCTGATGTCTGCTTTGAGAAGGCAATGCTGATAACATAAACGGTGTTTTAGAAAGAAGATGTGGTAGGTAGCAGATCTATGCCAGTATCCCCCGGTTCTTTCTTTATAACCTGCCAGAATTCCAGCCCTCTTCTGGAAAATTCAGGTTAAAGATGGAAAGTACTATAATTGAAAACTATGAAGAAGACAAGTTATAGAGACCAATTTTAAATGATATAAGTTGCACTGTCATTAATTAACTCATAGAAGAATGGAATAAATGACATAAAAATGTGGTGTTTTGAGGATTTCAAGAATGTTAAGAAAAATCTGAGAATTGCCTTAAACGTGGATAAAATATGCATTGATGACAATGAAATGGGAGAGGAAACTTTGCAAAGTGTTTCTATGATGTTTATGAGAAGAAAAGAGTGAAAAATGTTTAAAGGAAGTAAACAGATTCAAAAGCATTAGTGATATGTAAATAGAACACGAGAGGGCAAAGGCACAAAGGGGAAGAATCATTATATCTTCAGAGAAGAGGTTTGAGAGGCTGAATGATTCAACCAGTTTACCTTCCATTCTGGAATTTCTGGAAGATTTACAGAATATTAGAAAAGTTTTATAGGAAATTTTCATGGATATTGCTACTGCTCTCTTCCCCCAAGGAAACAGGTGTATTCTCGCTTGGCATGGAGAAATGCATTCCACTTGTCAATATGTTCAGACTAGAACATCCTTTACAAATATGAAAACAGTGCAGAATGAATAAACATCTGAAGAAAATGCACAGCTTTAAGGATAATCTAATACTAAAAAATGGAAAGTTGAATCTCCGAGGAATAAATAATTCTCTGAGGAAAATTTAAACTGTGTGTAATAAATATCCTTAGAGATATTCAAATGTATATGGCAAGGAGGCTGTTTGGTATAATGATTTAAACATCAGCTTTGGAGTCAGAC